CTTCCAGCTTCAGATGATCCAATCAAGATCTCTCTCATTTCAGTTAATCCCAGATCCAGTCAAGTTGACACCCAGGATTAGCCATCACACTAATATTTAACTTAATTATATAGATAACATCATGGTAGCTATAATAAAAATCAGAAAAGAGGGCCAGAGAAATCGCTCAGTGGGTGAAGGTGCCTGCTACCAAGCCTGGCAACCTGAGTTCGATACCCAAGAACCATGTAAAAGGCGAGAAAAAAGAGAGAGCTGACTCCCACAAATTGTCCTCTGATTTCCACACATGCACCATGGTGCATGTATGCATATGCACATACACATGTAGATACACACAATAAATAAAATGTAACCTAAGGGCTGGGGAGATGGCTCAGTGGTTCAGAGCACTTGCTGCTTTTCCCATTCAATTCCCAGCACCCACATCAGGCAGCTCACAGCTCGGTCAGCTTCACGGGATCTGACGCATGTCTAGCCTCCATGAACACCTGCACACTCGTGGCATTTGCCCACACAGACCTACACACACAGGCACATAGAGAAAATAATAAAAATGAATCTTTTAAAATGTAATTTTAAGAATCAGAAAGGTAAAGCAGCCACAGTCTTTGGCCTTATAAGCCAATGACATTTTCTTAAGTCTTCACTACCAGTCCTTATGCTGCCATAGCCATAACTGTCATCATAGCATACCCAGTCTTGGATTCAGTTTGTTTTCACTTTACATTGTATCATGCATACCTTTCAGCCAAGTGTGGTGGCACATGCCTGTAGCCCCAGAACTTGGGAGGCAGAGGCAGGGGGATCTCTGTGAGTTCAAGGCCAGCCTGGTCTACATAGTATCATCCATACCTTTCTATCCAACTGTGTAGTTTGTGATAACCATTTTAATGACTGCCTAATATCTCACTGAGTACTCACTCTGTAATTTATTTAATATCTCCCTGTTATTGGGTATTTCCCTCCAAATTCTCATCAGTATTTTAAGTGATTCTCTAAGGCTTTGCTTTCAGAATTATTTTTCTCCAGGAAGTTACTGGGTTCAAATGCATACTGACTCTTTTCTTTGAGACAGAATCTCATTATCTAGCACAAGCTGGCCACATAGTCATGATCTTCCTGTCTCACACTCCTGAGTGCTGGGATCACAGGCCTGAGCCACCATACCCAGTCATACAAATATTTTATAACTCTTGGAATATATTACCAAGCTGTTTTCCAAAAGTGTTAGTCTTGAGTCAGGGGAGATGGCTCATGGGTAAGAGCACTTGCTGTGCAAGCATGAGGACCTGACTTTAAATCCCCAGCACCCATGTAAAAAGCTGAACATGACTATGCATTTCTGTAACACCAGCATTGTTGGCCAGAGACAGGTGGATTCCAGGCAAGGGTGCCTGTCCAAAACAGTGAGTTTCAGATTCTGTGAGAGACCATCTTAAGGGGATAATACAGAGAGCTATAGAAGAAGATACCTGTTGTCCTGCCCTGGATGTGGTATGAATACACACAGGTGTGTACACCTGTACACCCATGTGCATGTACCACAAACAGCACACACATACCAAAAAGTTTTTTAAAAATAGACTAATAAATAAAAGGCGTTAAGCTTATTTTCAGAGCCTCTATTAGTCCTGCATTCCCTCCAGGTTAGGTAGGTGCCTATAAATAAATAAAGGACTTTCTGTGTCATGCTAACTTCAGCTCTTCTTTTTTAAGGGCACCCTTTTTTTCCCCCTCCCGGATGGGACTGGCTGGCTGTATGCCCTACATGGGACTGCTGAACTCCCCAAAGCTGTCGCCAATATCTGCCGTGAGGTGCCATGCAAGACTCCCTACACAGAGCTCCTGTCCGTCAGCAACTGGCTGAACAAGCCCCAGAGGTGAGGGAGTGGGGCAAGCAGTCAGGGTGGGAAGACAATTTCCACCATCCAGTTTGGTCCTTTCCCTGCTCAAGGCCTGCAGAAAGTGTTGTGGTTATCAATGTTGCTTGGTACTTCCTGAACATGAGCTCTATCCTCCTGATCAGTGCTTGTGTATGGATAGCTCTAGAAGATGTTAACTTGACACACCTGGGAAGAGGGAACCTCAACTGGGGAATTTCCTCTATCATCCTGTGAGGCATTTTCTTGATTGTTGAGTGATACAGGAGGGCCCAGGCACTGTGGGCGGTGCCACCCCTGGACAGGTGGTCCTGGGTTGTGTAAGAAAGCAGGCTGAGGGGTTAGAGAGATGGCTTAGCAGTTAAGAGCACTGACTGCTCTTGTAGAGGATCCGGGTTCAATTCCCAGCACCCACATGGCAGCTACAAACCATCCTTAACTCCAGTGCCAGGGGAATCCAAAGCCCTCTTTTAACCTCTGCAGCATTGCCCTACACAGGTACACTCACATACATGCAGGCAATACACTCATACATATAAAATAAAAATAATAAATAAAACATTTTTTGAAAAAAAGAAAGCAGGCTGAGCACAGGCCAGTGAGCGGCGAGCTTCCATGGTCTCTGCTTCAGTTCTTCCCTCCAGGTGTCTGTCCTACTTAAGCTCCTGCCCCTGGCTTCCCTCTATGAGGGACTGTACTCTAAATGAACCTTTTCCTTCTCAAGTTGCTCTTGGTCACAGTGTTTCATCACAGCAATAGAAGGCAAACTAAACAGTACTATCTCTTGTAGATTTTCTAGAACATTGCCTGGTACAAAATGAATGCCCAATAAATAGTAGCTGTTATAGTCACAAGGATAATCATCTTTGTTATTGTTGAGTGTCTTAAGGCCTAAGTCACTGGCCAGAGGCGTCCCCTTCCATCGTGCTTGTGGTAGGAAGGAGTAGAAGAATAGAATGCAGAAACCAGAGATGCTCAGGAACAACCAGCTTTGTCCCCTCCTTCCACAGAGAAGAACCAAAGCCTGGGAAAAGAACTGCACCTTCCTGAAGGCCACTGCATGGCATGGGTGAAGACTCAGATCTAAATGTGAATCCATGTTTTACCAGTAGCTACTCATGTCACCTGTACATGTTATCTTCATTCTTTGGGCCTCTATTTCCTCTTCATTAAAATGGATATGTTATGATATATGCCTCCTCTAGACATTGTGACAGTTAAATACGTGTAAAAGAAAAAAGACTTAGAGGGGGGCTGGAGAGATGACTCAGTGGTTAAGAACACTGGCTGCTCTTGCAGAGGTCCTGGGTTTGATTCCTAGCACCTAAATGACAACTAACAACTGTCCATAACTCTAGTTCCAGAGGAATCTGACACCCTCTTCTGACCTCTGGGCATTGCATGACATGGGTGCACCTACATATATGCAGACAATACACTCATACACATAAAATAAAACATGATAAAATATTTTTTAAAGACTTAGAGGAATTACTGGGTACCTAGTTCATAATAAGTGGTCCATAAATGACAGTTGCTGTCATTGTTAGTGACAGAATGAAGGCTAGACTCATAGACCCACGAATTCTCCATAAAACCAAAAGCAGACACAACCCCTTTCCCTCGTTTCTTTGGACAGTCTCTCGTTGATTTTCATTGTCTCTCGTTGTCTCTCTCCTCTCTTATGCTGCTCCAGATTCCGAGTCATTGTGGAAATGGTGAAACCAGAGAAGGCAGACCTAAGCGTTACTCTAAAAGGCCTTGACTACATCGATGTACTGTCTGGCTCCAAGAAAGACTACAAGCTGAACTTCTTTTCCCACAAGGAGGGCCTGTACACTGCAAAGGTATTGCCAGGTCAAAGGCACCTCCCTCAAACTCTGGAGGTCTGACCCTGAGGTGTTAGAGTGTGACAGATTCTATCCATCAGTGTGTCTTTCACACATGAACTATCTCGTCCAGTTCTTTCATTTGTTCAACGGGTATCTATTAACACCTATGCCATGTTCTGTACTAAATGCTGGTAACATAGCAATGTTCAAAACCAGGCACAGTCTCTAGTCTAATGGAGGGAGATGGACATTATTCAAATAATTGCACTGTGGTTACATAATTCCAAATAAGATAAGTGCTTTGAAGAAAAGGAGCCTTATGAACTCATAACTCATGGGAGAGGTCAGGACCAAGGACTTGAGCGTAAGTGGTTAATAGACAGGTTGTGAAGCTATGATTAGTGACAGACTCACCAAAGTAAAGATTTTAAAGTCAAAAATTCAGACAAGATCTTTAAAAGAATGTAGGTAAAAACCAGGCTGTATAAGGCATTATTACCACCTACTAATAGTAAGATAACAATCCAGTGTTTTAAAAAAGGGAAATCTCAAACAGACTCTACTTCACAAGAGTAGCCATGTGAAATCTAAACATGGTGGCACACGCATGTAACCCCAACACCTAGGAGGTTGAAACAGGAGAATCAGAAGTTTGAGGCCAGCCTCTGGAATTTAATGCTACATGAGACACTGCCTCTAAAGAAATTTTTTAAGTAGCTATGTGAATGACCAACAGGCTCTCGAGGCCAACAACCTCATTCTCCAGGGAAAAGAATTTTGAAATATGAGCAGCATATCAGTCACAGGAAGAGTGAACAGTTTAGTGCAGTCATAGATGTGAGCTCTGGAGTCACTCTGTGGGTGACAATTTTTTGCATATGACCTTGGGCAAGATACTGAGCTTTGCTAAGCTTCCATTTTCTAATAATAACCATGCCTACAAATTGTGCACATTGGATTGCACAGTGTGGCATACATTCATCACCCTCTAAGTGTTAGATATACTACCATTGTTGACATTATTGATGACAACTCTGGCAGCAACAGCGGTAGGAGTGAAGCCCACTACAACTCGAAGCTCTTGAAGTCTTGCTTTTTTCCTCGGTCTGGCCAGCTGTCCCCATTGATAGAATATTGTCAGTCGACGGAGCTGCCCCAGCCTCTTCTAAAGCAAACAAAGGCTTTTATCATCTCTCACCTAGAAAAAGCCAGACTTCAGTGCTTAAAGAGAAAGGCTGCCTGGCATGGATCAGACAGGCTGGCCATGTCACCCTGCTACCTATACTTCCACGCCCAGCCAGGTTCACAGAGAGCTCCTGCATATGGACAGAGGACACTTGGCTAATGTCTCCTCTGCACTGCTTCCTCCCGCTCTCCCTGTGAACACAGGTGATCTTCCGGAACGAAGTGACCAATGAGTTCTTGTACTACACAGTGAGCTTCAGGGTCACCCCTTCTGGCATTATAAAAACCATCCAGCTGACCAGCCCAGTTCGCCAGAGTGCATCAGCCTCCATCAAGTTGGAGAACCCCCTGCCCTACTCAGTGACCTTCTCCACGGAATGTAGGGTGAATGACATCAGCCTGCCCTCCCAGTTCGCTGTGCCTGCCAACTCTGAGGTATGACCCTTTCTACCAGGGGACCCTTGAGGGCTATGACAGAGGCTTCTTCTACCCATGGGGCCTCTGGGCCCATGTTCTGCATCCCTTAAGTGTGGCCCAGCCCCAGCAGAAAGGCTGGAACAGTTACCCTAATGTTCCTTTCTTCTGTAGTAGCCAGAGTCCCTGTCTGAAATACGGATAGTTAGCTTCAGTATAGACAGGTAAAATGGGCTTCTTTGTTATTACTTTATTATTTATTTTCCTTGTTCAAGCTAAAGGAAAAACAATTTTTTGCTAATTATATGAATGGACCCACATGGAAGAACATTTGGGAACACAAATGACAGAGAATATGAAAGCAGGATTGGGGATGCAAATAGGGAGGGGGATCTCAACATGATCAAAATATACTTTATGAAATTCCAAAAAAATTCAATTAAAAAAAACTTTTTAAAAAGTAGCATAGGGCTGTAAGTGTACCTTAGTGACAGAGCATTTGGTGAACGTGAATGAGATTCCTGGGTTCAGTCCCCAGACCAACACACACACACACACACACACACACACACACACACACAAAGGCAATAAAAGAAATGTTAGTGGTGAATCAGAAAGCAAGGTATATATCACAAATACAACATACACACACACACACACAGGAGCAGATATACATACATGCTCATACACTTGATAACTTGTACTGTTGGTGCACAGACTGCTTCTGAATAGGTGCACAAGAACCTGTTAATAGTGATTAGGAAGATGTGGCCAGGAATTGTGAACCAGGAGGAATATGGACTTTCTTTTTTATTCTTTTTATCAGTTTATCATTCCAAATTTCCCACTGTCCACATTTCATCAAAATCCTCCCTCTAGCTGCTTCTTTCACCCCAACTCTATTGTCCTTCACCTTCAGAATCTAGAATGTTTTTCTCTGCCCTCCTGTTCACTTTTAGCAGGATTTTACCTTTCCTTTGTCTTCAATGCCATTGTTATATAAGCAAGTTCTGCTTTCAGAGATTTCTCTCCAAGCCTGATTTTGTTTCAGAAGGAGACTTTAATCATTTGGTCAGTTGGTTTTGGTTTGTTTTGTTAGCAATGTTGTCTTGCTTTAAGTTGGGTCTTGGTTGGCTTTTGGGAGACAGCATCTCACTGTGTAACACAGGCTAGCCTCAAACCCCTAATCTTCCTGCTTTTGCTAGGAGAGTGCTGGAATTAGAGCAGGTACCACCACTCCCAGCTCCCGCTCTTGATTTTGAGCATTCAGATATCCTCTACTGCCCCCCATAGACTAATCTCATTATGACACTTTGTGGTTAAACTAAAAACACCCCTCTGGCATCACTACCATTATCAGATTGTCCCAGCAAGTTATGTGGGGCCCCTCAATTCAGGGGTGATACCTGAGCTCTCTGGCTCTCAAGGCTCATTTCTTCCCTTCCCCCTTGGAGCATCTAATATGGCATCAGTCTCATGGCTATTGGTAGTTTGGCTCTACCCCCTCATGTTTGGGAGAGTTAGGGGTCACCTTTTCACTTAGCTTCATTATAGATGTTGGTCATAAGTTCTTATTATTAGCCTATTTGATCTATATGGGTTTGGGGAGGTGGCATTTGGGGAGATTCCAAGCTATGTTGTAATTACTACTATCATCTTACCCTAAACCTAGAAAGTTAGTTTCTGTGTATAAAGTGAGTAGACATTTCCTTTTGTTCCCCAAGTCAATAGAAGTCATCTCAGACTGACTAAACTTCTCATGTTAAACTGAGTGTGGTGGCACATGCCTATCATCCTAGCACTCAGGAGGTACAGGTAAGCAGATCAAGAAGTTCAGTCATCTGTTATGTAGCGAGTTTAGAAAATAGCCTGGGATACATGAGACCCTCTCCAATAAGAAACTAAACAAACTCAAGTCATCTTTTCCCTAACTGCTCTGCAATACCATTTATGGAATGAATTGAGTTCACCTATCCATGGGTCTATCCTAGCGTCTCTCTAATGTGATAATTTTTGACTTCATACCAATACTACTTATTCCTTTTCATCTGTATCTTGGCTCTTTGCATTGCTATATAAATTTTGAAGGCAAGTTGCTCAAAGGAAATAAAAGAAATTGTTGGTATTTTGAATGAAATTCCATTGAATCTATAGATTAAGAATCAATTATCTCTTATCTGTTGACCCATAACAAATTACCCCAAAATATAGCAATTTCAAACAGCAAGTGCTTGCTATCTGCACAGTTCTGACACTCAGGAATCCAGGCACAGCATCTTGGCTGAATGGTTTAGGTTCAGATTCTCTCAGGAGGCTACAGTCATCCCTTGTAACAGGGACTGGATCATCTGCTTCCAAACTCGGGCATGTGATTGTTGGAAAGGCCTTCAGCTCCTGGCTATCTGTTAGCTGGAGACCTCAGCTGCTTACCTCACCCTAGAGCTTCTTCCAACACGGTGGCCCAACTCCACTACAGTGGAAGATCTAACAGAAAGAGACTAGACTGCAAGGGAGAAAAGAGTGAGGCATGAGCTTGCAGAAATAATCTTTTATGACCTAATCTTAGGAGTGGCATGCTATCTCTTCTGCTGTGCACTAGTGGCCACAGGGGCCAACCCTGCAGCAGTGTGGGGAAGAACTACACAGGGTATGAATACCAGGGGGTAAGGACTCATGTCTGTTTTGTGAGCCTATCACAGGAACAGTTAAGTATTAAGACCTTTACAACACTGAGATTTCTGTAAGCAAATATCTACTTACTGAAGTTTTCTTAATGTCTTGCAATATTGGAAGGGTTTTGCTATGTCATTTTGTTTTCGTGTCTCACTATGTAGCCTCAGCTGGCTTGGAACTTGCTATGTAGACCATCCCAGGCTGGCCTCGCCCCTGCCTCCTGAGTGCTGGGATTAAAGGCATGCATCACCAGGCCCAGCAGGATTTTTAGATAGATAGATAGATAGATAGATAGATAGATAGATAGATAGATAGATAGATAGATGGATGATGGATGGATGGATGGATTTATGGATGGATAGATAGATAGAAAGAAAGGGAGAGGAGACTTTATTCATCTTTAGATTTATTCTTAGATTTTATACATTTTGATACTCTTTTCACATTGTTGTCCTTAAAGTTTTATTTTTTATTTGTCCCAAGCATCTATAAATATATTTGATTTATATTTTTAACTATAGAGTCTTGAAATTTCTTACATATATAATCATACTGTTTGAAAATAATTGCATTTTGTGGTACCCTTTCTAAATCTTTTTTTTCGTCTCCTCATGCCTTGTGGGACCATCAAGGAACAATGCTGAATAGTGAATTGAAAGAATCTTTTTCTTGTTCATGATCTTGAAAGAAAGGCATTCAAAATGTCATTCTTTATTAATTGTTTCATATTTCTTATAGATACCATTTGTCAAATTGAAGATTCCCCCTCTATCCCTCATGTGCTAAAAACTTTACTTAAAATCCCATGAATATAGACTGGAGGATAGCTCAGTCAGGAAAGTGTTTGCTTTATTGCTTTATAAGCATGAAGACCTGAGTTCAATTCCCAAAACCCATGTAAAGAAATGCCTGGCCTGGTGGTGCACACCAGTAATCCCAGCACTAGGGGGGTAGAGACAGGAGGATCTCTGGGGCTCAACTGGCCAGCCAGTGAAACCTAATTGGTGAGCTCTGGGCCAATGAGAGGCTCTGTCTTAAAGTAGATGGACAGCATTCCTGAGGATGATAACAAAGGTTGTCCTCTGGCCTCAACATACATGTGCAGACAAGTGTCCATTCACATGCACACACCCATAAACCCACATATGCATGGACACACAACATATATATATGCATACACACACACAACACATACATAACACACACACACACACACTTTTTTAATACCATAAATGGAACCAGGCATGGTGGTACATGCCTTAATCCTAGTCCTGCAGACTAAGGTGGGTGAATTGTGCATTTGAGGCCAGCCTGGACTATATAACGAGATCTTGTCTCAAGTTTTTAAAAACAGTGAAGGCCAACTCAGAGGGTAAGGGTGCCTTCCACCAAACCTAATAAGCTGAATTCAATCCTCAAGACCTATGTGTTGGAAGAAGAAAACTGACTCTCACAGTTGTCCTCTGACCTCCACACACGTGCCATGGCATGCCCAAGCCCACACATACACACACATGCACAAAAAAATAAAAAAATTTAAGTGGGATCATAAGACACCATGAATGGATGGTGATTTTTATCCAATACTTGCTCTGCATCTATTGAGATGCCTCTATAATTGTTCTGCTTTTAATCTGTTGTTGTGGTGACTGCTTAGGTTCTCTAAAGTTACAAGTTTACACTCATGGGATAACTTCATTATGAGTTCTCTTCTGTATATGGCTAGACTCAAGTAGGTATTTTTATCAGACATTTTGTATCTGTGTTTAGGAGGAAGACTGATGTCCAACTTTTCTTTCTCCTATAACTTGTGTTGGATCTTGGTATTGAGGTTATACTGATTGATATGGGTTCTCTCTGTTTTTTTTTTTTCTAGAAGAATTTGTATGATACTAGAATTGCTTCCTCCTTGATTGCCTGGTATAACTTACAAGTAAAATTTATTGTCCTGGAATTTCTTTTTTTGCATATGTATGTGTGTATGTGTGTTCACACAGGTGCACATGTACATGTGTGTACATGTGAAGGTCTGAATTCAATGTTGGGTGTTTTCCTCAATCGCTCTCCACTTTATTCATTGAGGTGGTGTCTCTCCCTGAACCCAAAACTCACCATTTCAGCACATCTAGCTAATCCACTTGGCCCAGGGATCCCCTGTCCACCTCCCAAGTGCTGGAATTACAGGCAGGCCCTCACACCTGCCTTGCTTTTGTGGGGTTTCTGGAGATCAAAAATCCAGTCCTTACAGCTGCTCAGCAAGCACTTTATTTACTGAGCCATCTCCCCAGCCCAGTTCTGGGATTTCTTTAAGGAATAAAGTATTAATAGTGCTGGGGATCAAACCCTGAGCCTTGTGCATTCTAGAAAAGCTTTTTACTATGGAGCTACAGGCCAGTTCCATCCCTGACCCCACTTTTTGAAGACAGGTTCCCACTAAGTTACTAAAGCTGGCCTGAAACTCATTCTGTAGCTCAGACAGGCCTTGATCTTGTGATCCTCCTGTTTCATGCTGCCAAGTAGCTTGGAACTATGGGCTACACCACCAGACCCAGCAAGGAAAATAGTTTTACTATTGTTTGTTGCCTTTTTTTCATGCTGGGAATTCAATTCGGGGCTCTAGACATGCTAGGCAAGTGCTCTATTACTGAGCCATATCCCTGGTCCCTGACTCTTGATTAAATTTACTTAATGGTTATACAATTATGTAGGTTTTGTATATATTCTTGAGTCTGTTTCTATAAATTATATTGTTTTTACATTTGCCTATTTATCTCATTTTTATTGTATAATGTCATGCTCTTTTGTTAAATATCTACAACTTCACTGATATACTATTTATTCTGATTATTTTTCAATAAGAATTTTTTAAAATATCTACTCACAATAAAACAAAATGTCGAACTGTATAGAAGTATAAGAAATAGAAAGTGCCAGGCATGGTAGCACACACCTTTAATCCCAGCACTCAGGAGGCAGAGGCAAGTGGATCTCTGTGAGACTGAGCCCAGCCTGATTACATAGTGAGTTCCAGGCCATGTGGGGCTATAGAAAAAAAGACAAGAAAGGAAGAAAGAAAGAAAGAAAGAAAGAAAGAAAGAAAGAAAGAAAGAGAGAGAAAAGAAAAGAAGTGAAAGTGGTCATACCCATTCCTCCAACATAACACCAGTAACAATCCTATATATAGTCTTACAAACTCTTTTCTCCATATAAACAAAAGAAAACAAAAACGAGCTTTAGGGCTAGCAAGGTAGCTCGTGGGGTACAGGGCTCTTGCATGCAGGCCCCACAACTTGCGTTTAATCCCCAGATCCCACAAGGAGGCAGGAGAGAAATAATTCCAGACAGCTGTCCTCTGGCCTGTACATGTGCATGTGAACACACATACATGCGATAAAAATTTTAATTAATTAATTGAGTTTTATGGAGCTGGAGAGATGGCTCAGTGGTTAAGAGTACTTTTTGCCCTTCCAGAGGACCTGAATTCAGTTCCCAGCACCCATATCAGGCAGCTCACAACTGCCTGTACCTCTAACTCCAAGGGATCTGCAGGCACCCACATACACATTGCTTACAGAGAGAGAGAGAGGAGAGAGAAAGAGAGAGACTACACACAAATAAAAATAAATCTTTTTTCATGAGCTTTATATACATTTTTTTTCTCCTGTTTACAATACCATCAACACTTTTCACGTCAGCACTGTGTGCTCTACCTCATTCTTTACTGGATTGCATAATATTCCACTGAGGTGGGGAAACCCTGGCTCATTTAACCAATCTCCTATTGATAAGCATTTGAATTGTTCTCCCTGTGTGCTCTTATAAACAATACCCTTTGGTTTTGTAAGAACGGGGAAGGTGAATAAATGCTTCCCCTCAAGTAGGGGCAGAGCCCAAACCAAGAAGCTGTTCAAAGATTGTCTTTGTGCAAAGAAGGGGCTTCCTGACCTTTAACCCTCCTGTGGAGCCCATCATCTCCATAAATGTACTTCTCCAGAGAGCACCCAACACCTATTAGACTCACAAAGATTTAGAATGGAGAAATACCTGGAATAGAGGAAGTGAGAGGACATGAAGGGGAGTGAAAGTGGGCTAGCCTGGGCCGGGGTTTCCAAGCTCAGGACCAGCTGGAGCATTTGCATGTGAAGCATCCTTTCTGCCACCAACCGCCAGAAGGCCTTGGGCAGGCCACTCAGTGGCAGAGGATGGGTCAGACTTCCAGCATGACAGGAGTCTCTGTCTTGTCTTCCAGGGAACATTTGCATTTGAATTCCAGCCCCTGAAAGCTGGGGAAACCTTCGGGAGACTAACCTTGCACAACTGTGACTTGGGTTACTACCAGTATGAACTCATTCTGAAGGCCTTGCCAGCACCTCCGGAGAAAACTGTCCACTTCCAGACTGTTCTTGGTAGCAGCCAAAGCATCTTTGCGAAGTTCACCAATTACACCCGGCAGAAGACAGAGTACTTCTGCAGGGTGAGTAGGCCCTTTCCTTGACAGAAGACTGGATTCAACAAATAATGGGAAGCCCAGTATAGTTTGTAATCCCAGTGCCCTATAATCTCAGCACTCAGGAGGATTTGAGGCCAGCCTGAGATACGTAGTGAGACCCTGTCTCAAAAAATGATGATGGGGGACTGGTGAGATGGCTGAGAGGTTAAGTGTAGTAGCGGCTCTTGCAGAGGACCCAGGTTCGTTTCCCAACACCCACATGGCAGATAACAGTGGTCCATAGCTCCAGTTCCAGGGGATCTGTTGCCCTCTTCTGACCTCCAAGGGCATTGCATGACATGGGTGCACTTATATGCAGGCAATACACTCATACACATAAAATAAAAATGATAAATAAAACATTTTTAAATGATGATGGAAGAATGACTCCAAGGGTGCAGAAAGGTGAACCTCATGGGTCTCTGTCATAGTGAATCCTGCCATAGAGAACTGAATCTAGCCTGGAAACTCCCAGCTAGAAACAAATAGTATCAGAACCTGAGTTCTTCTTTTATAGACTTTCTATTTTATTAAGCTGGGGGTGGGGGGAGATTTTGCTTCCCACATCATACTTAGGGGTCAGTAAAGGAGGTAAGTATCCCTTGAGCTCATGAGTATAGGCTGTGGAATCAGACATGGGTTTGAGTCTTGCTTCACCACTTTCTCTTTGAATGAGTAATTTGCTTAAGCTGTCTAAGCCCTAACTAGAGATAATGCTACTGTCTCTGTCCATTTTCTGTTACTTATAAATGTCCACAGACTGGACAATTTATAAAGAGTAAAAATTTTCTCAGCTAATGATTCTGAAAACTGAGTAGTAAGACCTCTTGCTGCTAAATACTCACTCTCAGAGTCCCAAAGTGGTAGGAAGGATGCATTCGAAGGGGAGCCAAGTGACTTTTATAAACAGATACACTCTCAATTAGCCCACCAGTATGTTAATTTGTTCATGGATTCACCCATTCATGAGGGCTGCCCTCATGACCCAGTCTCCTGTTAAAGATCCTACTTAGTCCCATATCTTAATACTTTATAATGAGGATTAATTTTCAAGATGAGTTTTGGTGGTGCCCTTCAAACCATAGCAACCTCCAACCTCACAGAGCTACTATAAACACAGTCATATATATTTGTATGTGTGTACATGTATGTATACATGAAATATGTATTTATAAACCCATCTTCTTAGCACCTAGACCATAGTAAGTATACATTATATATTATTATAAGACAGAAAGCCAATCTAGCAGCAAAATAGAAATTTACTCCTCTTACAAACAATAGTTTGGGCATGAGCAGTCTGATCATGGATGGCAATTCCACGGCATCAGCTACCCAGGGACACCTTTCTGTCCTACCCAAGGACAACACTCTGTCCCTTCAGAGCTGCTTTGGCCCTCATGAGCCAAGATAGCTCACCATGACATGATGTCCCCAGTGAAAATCAGAAGTGCTGTGGCTATAACAAGAGGCATAGACTTCTTGACTATCATATTAATCAGGAAAGACTTGGTTACATATAGAAACAACCCTTGAGATCTGAGTGTATTAAAGGAACAAAGGTTTGCTTCTCACTTGCACTATCTATTCAGTGAGGGGCCATGAGGACTCTATTAGTCACTCAGTTATCCTGCTGAGGAGCAGCCCTTATCTCAAATGTTTCCAATGACAGTACCAAGGGGGTGAAAAAACCCTGATGGGACTTACGGATGACTAAATACTCTAGGACAGAAATGACACCTTTCACTTCTACTCACTAATTGTTCAGAACTAGCTTCACCCATCCACAAGGAGCCAGAATGTTCCACTTCCATGTGAATGGAAAGAAACAAAAACCAGATATGGGAAACATACCTGATAACTCCCCCACCAGCATCATCTAGTTGTATGTCTTAGAGTGCATTACTAATATCCCGTTGCCTCTATTTCTTGGTACCAGTGTTGGGATAGTCATGAGTAATACTTAGCCAGTAAGACCTCAGCTCCATAGCGTAGAATGCAATATTATAGCCTCTCCAGTCTTGCATAAACGTAAGTTCTTTTGGAGGGGTTGCAGATGACCTTGAACAACTGGTAGTCTCTTTAGGATCCTGTGTAAGTCAATGTCCTTTGTTCCCCATCCAGGTAGACTGTCCTGACTTCCACACAGAAAGAGTCATCAATGTAGCCCCAGGAGCCCAGGGTGGCACTGAAGTCAGCGTGGAAGTTTTCTTTGAGCCCAGCCACTTGGGTGAGACCAAGGGCATCCTGAGCCTGTCATCACTTGCAGGTGGCGAATATATCATCCCCCTCTTCGGAATTGCCCTGCCTCCCAAGCCCCAAGGCCCCTTCCTGATCCGAGCTGGATACAACATCATCATCCCCTTCAAGAATGTCTTCTTGCACCAAGCAAACTTCTCCTTCATCGTGGAGAACCCAGCCTTCACCATCCGGGCTTCAGACTCTGTGCGGCCCAAGAAGATCAACAACATCACAGTTTTCTTTGAGGGAAACCCATCAGGCAACAAAACACCTATCACCACCAAGCTGATTGTCACCTGCCTTCATTGTGAAGGCTCTGAATCTGGAATTAAATGGGTTTATTATCTGAAGGGGATCACCCCTTAGTGATACCAAGGTTACAACTGCATCAACTAAATGCCATCTTCTCAGCCTAAGAGCTGTGTGCCCTGTCTGTTCTAACAAAGACTAGACAAGAAAATGAGAATTTTCCAAGGACTTTATTTATATGCATTTAATTATAAGTGAATTCATTTCTATATTGTTTCCCAAATACAGATATGAAATATGTATTCCACATTAAACATTACAGCTACACACAACAGGTCTATATTTGGGATAAATGAATCCTTAACAGCCTGCATAGTTTTATTTTCCACAGCTAAACACTCTAAAATGATCCCAGTTTGTTAAAGGAACACTCAGGTATCACACTCGTGACCTTTTCCACACAGCGCTTTGAAGTGCCTGATGCAGTCGACTGCAAATTCTCCTTAAAATGACATCAACACTCAGATATGACTGTTTTGATGGGATAGCATTCCCTTTCATGCAAAAGCCAAATAAGTAGCCATTTTCAAAGTGATGGACACTCAGGGATGCTCTCTTTCACTGTTTCTCTTGTATCTTATACCATCAGCCTCCAAATCCCGTATCTGTTCCCTACACAAAGTCCTTGTTGGAAGTGAGGTCCTGGAGAACACTAATGGAGACCCCACCTCCTTGTACCCTCCCAAACCTGAATGTCCTCATCTCGAGGGTCCTGGTCCCTGCTCATCTGTACATCCAGTCACCTAACTCTCATCCTGAACCCACTCTCCCTGAATAATGAATGGGTTTGAAGGGAGGTGTGGGTATCATATATTCATATGCTACATGAACATACACATATAACTGTAGGTTAAGAACCAGGGCTACATAGTAAACACACCCATCCACTTGTGCTGCTGCAACTGAGTCAGGAATCCTATCCATGGGAAGAACCCCATCCCAGTCTGGTATGTTGAAACTGCAGCTGTTTCACATGCTCATGCAGGGCAGCCATCTAGGTAAGTGTTTCTCCTGAGCACCACTCTGGAAGGACCACCTCCACAGAGTTGGGGAGTGCCTGCCTCGGTCCAGAGGCCTGGGTCCACATGCATTTCTTCCCATGGGGCCTCATGGTGTGCATTAGTAGGACTACTGGCCTCTGGGTGCCACGTGTGAAATAAAATGGTTAAACACTGGCCCTGACATGGATTTGCTTCTGCAGATACACACCGCTCACCTGGAGTCCTTCCTCTACCTCCTCCCCTTCTCATTGAGGGTATCACCCAAGAATTTTAGAAAGCCAGGACCTAGGTCCCACCCCACACCAACTGAGTCACATTCTGTATTGGATGAGGACCTCTGGGTGATCAGCACATGCACATCACAGCCAAAAGCCTTGCTGTAAGGTCACTTTTCCCAATCCACAGCCCTAATGCTCTTTACGCTAGAGACTAGACAGGGGTCTTACATAGTCTGTGTATGGTCTAGTTGATTAAATTAACCCTATCCAAAATGGCTATCTGTAGCTAAAATTCCTTCTGAGGAGGTAAAAACGACATCCACCTCCTCCTCCTTTCATCCCAACAACAAACTGAGGTACAATTTAATCAAACTGCAGTCTGGGGGAACCAGTGAGTTTATTGGGCTTACTTACAGAGCAATGGGTAAGGATTTATTTACAAGAGTGTGGGTGCTCCCCCACTAAGGCCTCAATGGAAAGTCTCCATCCAAGCATGCATGATGGGTTTCCCACAACTGCATAAAATGGCAAGAGACTCAACCCTAGGCTTCCCCAGCTTATATACCCTTAGCCCCTCCCCTACACCACAACTAGGGCCAACTGGTTGGTTGGAAGCTGTGGCTGGACTTGTAGGTGAGGGTCTCACGACTCTCCCCTGTCCCTCCCTTGCTAGAGTGTGAACAGTTAACAAGCTCAGCTATGACAATCTTGGGCAAGCAGGTGCAACGAAGCTTAGGAAGATGGTGTCTGTCTGTCCAACAGTCCAGTGCAGTACCATCCTACCACCCACTGAAAGACACATAGCTGGGGATAAATGGGAGAGGAGAAATCGGCCCATCACCTCATTTTTCAAAAGGAACAGCTTGGTATTTTTTTTTCAAAATGAACACAGGCATGGTGACACATGCCTGTAACCCCAGTACTCAAGAGGCTGAAGCAGAAGGATTGCCACAAGTTCAAGGCCAGCCTGGGCTATGAGAGAGCGAGTTCCAGACCAACTGCACTACAGAGTGAGAACCTGTTTCAAAGAAGAAGAAGAAGAAGAAAAAGAGCATCTTTTCAATAGTTGCAGACCTAATATATTAATAGCTGTTAAAATTGAAAAAAGGATGGAGGCTGCTGTGTGAAAGCTGGGCTAACACTGACAGCCAGGGCATGGGGAGACTCCATGAGCCCACTAGTGCTGACAAAATGTTCTCTTGGGGCTAAAATACTTCTAACCACCATCCCAATCCCTGGCTGCTACAAAAACCAGTCACTTCCGGTGCCACTGCCAGCAAAATGGCAGTGTGTAGCCTGCCATCAGGTGGCTAGAGGACAAGAGGCAACCACCCGTCCACCCCTAGATCTGCTTCAGCTCACCCCAAACCAGAGTCTGCAGTCCAAATCCTCCTAACTTGAGAATGGGTGCATTTCTTCACTTTAAGTTATTGGTTTGCCTCCCCCCTGCCCCGGCCCCCAGCAAAAGCAAAATAGTTTTATATTGGAAGATTTCAAATGGCAAAATAGGTCAATAGAGGGCAAAGTGAAAATAAGCATCTTGAAGAGCTTGTAGATGTTACATTTGGCAGAAGACACATTCAGCTAAGCAGACTAAAATGTGAAGGGGGACAGTGCCAGCGTGCACAGAACACCATGTGCAGGGGACTCCCTGGTGCTCTTAGAGGGAACTGCTGATGAGTTTGGATGCTAAGTCTAAACACTTCTGTGGGGGAGATATGCCTCCAGTAGAAGGTGATGTATATTTGGGCCTATCAGATTACAAGACATCCCAACTGGAGCCTCCCCAAGCTTCTTAGACCAGTTGTCCTAAAACTCCAGATCAAAATTATATTGCTGTTAGAGAAAAACATTTTTTTGGTCTTTTTGAGACAGGGTCTCCCTGTAGCCCTAGCTGTCCTGGAACTCACTATGTAGACCAGGCTGGCCTTGAACTCACAGAGATCCACCTGCCTCTGCCTCCCAAGTGCTGGGATTAAAGGCATGCACCACCACGCCTGGCTAGAGAAAGTGTTTTGATTAGGGTACAGTTTCTTACACTGTCACCAGCATCTTCTTGCTACAAGTTGCATTGGTACTATCATTAACAGTTGTTAGCTATTAGAAAGTCTACAGTGACAACCAGGCACCACAGGGCTGCAGGTGAATTATCACTGTAAAGAGAATAAGCATGCAGGAAGGCATATGAGCTACTCAACAGTCAAAGAGTATGAGCAGGGGAGGCTGGCCAGCAGGGTCAGAGAAGAGGAAGACAGAAAGAGAAGGCAGGGATGACCCCTGATCTTTATTCCCAGTGTCACTGTCAGCCCCGTTTTTCGTAAGTTTAAAAAGCTGTGTGTAGTGGCACATGCCTTTACTCCCAGTGCTCAGGAGGCTACGGCAGGCAGAGCTCTGTGAGGTTAAGGCTAGCCTGGTCTACATAGCTAGTTGCAGATCAACCAAGCCAAACAGTGAGACCTTATCTCA